ATTGGCCCACTGAAATTCTCAATTTCCTCTTCAGTCCTACTTTCAACATTTCCTGTCTTTTTCCTACTGTTCATCCAAATGGGCGCTCAAAAAACCAACCAAAATCGGCCCACGAAAGTGCATAGTTATTGGTTGTACAAAATGAACTGAATATTCACGTTTCACACACAATGAGTTAACAGTGATCACACAGAGGTTGTACATCACGGTTGAATTCACGAACTGATCATTTCTGGGGACGAACGATTGAAATGTGGTTCACGGCCATCCGAGGCAGAACAAGAAAGAAGTATGTTCACCAACAAATGCCTGGGCACCATTGCTTAAAAAAGCCGTCGAATATCATTTTGTCGAGAGACAACTGTAACGTGCTGCTTCAAACCAAATTAACAGGTGCATCTAAATCACCGAGATCACTTGAGTGTGTGTGTGGCTGGGNGGTGGGTGGGTGGGTGCGGTGTGTACAGCACACAAAGATGATCACAAAACACAGTATCCGTACGTATCTACAAAAGCAGCGAAACGACAAACCAATACTTCTGACTTTTCTGTTTGAGTTCATTACGTGGAACTTTCAATTTCTCAAACAAAAATCCGTCATAAGTTCAGGAAATTTGGAACCGGTGTGGGGATGTATGCCCTAGCGCTGTGCTCAGTTATAAATAATATTGATCAATCTGTTTTGCAACCATATGAGTTGCTTTTATCACATTCTAGGGCACGGTTAATAGACTTTCGCACGCTCTAGCAGAGCTATAATTAAAGTTACTAATCGGGGAATTCCACTGCTTGATGAAACCCCTGTGCACCAGTTGTTAATTGCCATTATTTTGTAGTTTCATATCTCTTTTGTAATCATCTTATTCGCTAGATCCTTTTCAGTACTGTTCGTTTTTTTTAGTTACTAAAGCTATTTAACCACTGTTGCAGATATCGATGACGCAATCTGTTCGCTGTTTAAAATGAGATCCTTGAGAATCCGCGCAACAGTTTTATTATTCGCTGTAGCGGTTTTGAATTTCCGATGCAAATCGTGTTCGCGAATTTCATCTATCTTGCTGCTGTGCGTAACAACTAATTAACACAGGCGTACACTAACTCGTTTGCTTAGTCATGTTTGCACATGCCCATTCGCATTGATTCACTTGTCTCGTTCGCACTGAGTGTTCGCTCACTAGCCCCGCCCCTTTTTATGACACCTCTCTCTCTCTGTCAGGGTTCATCGACGCGAGATCACAGTGGAATTGAGTTCGGAAGGGTTCTATCGGACTGGGATCCGACCAGATGTTAGTCAACATGCTCTCAATTTGGTCTCACTAATCTCGCATTTACGGTTTCACAAATCTCTGGAGAGTCTTGAACAGCGCTTGGGATACACGTTCAAAGACAAGTCATTGCTTCATGTGAGTTTTTTCCCCTTAAGTGCGTGCAAAGGCGTTCAACATTCGCCGTGGAATAAGTTTGATCCCAATCGTCACCAAGTTATTAGCCTCCATCATACTTTGACGTTTGACACCGTTTAGGGAGACAAATATCCGCGAACAACATGCAGAATTTCGACCAAGTCGCGGTTGGATCGATCAAATCTTCACTCTGCTCCAAGTCCTGTCATGTTCCTTAACCTTTTAGGTCACGACGATACCACTACATCTAGAGATGTTTCGGGGATCTCGCCAGTAAATCAAAGTCTTTCTTCAACTAACCGGGAAGGATCACTGAGAAGCAACACAACCAGTGGGGGAGCATGCAAGCATTCACAAACGCACAATCCGCTTATGGGAAACAGAAAGTATTCTCAATCGGAGTGAGAAATATGAAAGCTTTCTAACTTTACAGAATGTGTTTCGAATATACAGTAACCATGGTAAATTGTGTGATAATGTGACCCCAAGGTATTCTACTATTGTTTATATCGGTACGGGTTCATAATTGACAGAGTGTGGGGAACCTGTTTGTGAGGGCTGAATATGGTAAATCGGTCAAGAGGGAAAACACAACATCCTGACACTTAGAGGCATTCAATGAGAGTGAACAGGACAAGGACCAAGTAACAACGTCGTTCAGCCTGCTGAAACCTCCTCAGGGGTGGATGCTTTGCACTTCAAATAACGTCATCTGCGTACTTACAGCCAATAAATGTGTGGGGAATGGTAAATTGTTTGACGTACATTACAAAGAAAAATGGGGAAAATGTTGCACCTTGCAGAACACCAGAAGCAACTGGGCGAGTGTAGGATTTTTTGCCGTTGAGGCATGTAAACTGCCTCCTATTTGTGAAATAATCGCGGATCAATCTGCTAACGTTTGGATTAATACCATTTTCGGTAATCAGGTTGAGCAATACCGATCGAACACTATTCTAACGGTCTTACTTTTCTTATGCTGAAATTATTGAATGAATAAGGTATGCAACAGCATCAGTTATTGAGCTAGAAGAACGATATGCAAATTGATGTATGTCATCTTCCGCAGATCCAGTGACAACCCACGGTAACAAGCATCTCTCTCATATAATTTGAGTATGACTGACGTGCAGGCGATGGGACGATACTTCCCAGGTTCCTTTTTTTTATCTTGATCAGTCTCCAAATATCAGGAATTTTGTAGACAATGGGGCTAAAGGAATGTCCGCACATACCTTGAGTACCACGGGTGATAGTTCATCTGGACCAGATACTTTATTCATCTTTGCTTTCAGCAGCTGTTGAAGGACCGTGGCTGGTTCGATAATTGGTGTTGGCGTAAAGCTAGATCTGGTAGGGCAGTGCGCTGTGAAACTGGACTAAGCTCGGAATTTAGTCGACAGTTTCCCTTTCGTGTTTATTGCTACTGCCACACAGGCGGTTCATAGCTCTCCGCATGCCACGACAACTGGAGTTTTCCAGGAAAGTGTCGATGTACAAGTTGTTCAACCGGTTTATTTAAGCTTTGATCGAAATTGTCAGCGGCTTGACATGGATTCTTTGTCCTTGTTTGTAGGCCTGTTCTTTCCGTCTGCGTAGCTGGATGAAGACCATCCATCGAGATTGGGCACACGTATATCACTTGTTTACAGTTGACTCGATTACATCTTACGCGCCGGGCCTTCTATCTCTTCATACAAAGGAAATTGTCACATTGGAGTTATTTTCTCCCCCGTAGCTTTAAAAAGTTGAGTAAGAATGAATGTCACTGCCAGTCAACGTGTTGAACATGAGTTACGTGAGAGTACTGCGGAATTTAATCTGAGTAGTTGGTAAATTTTTTCATATACGAAACAAATCAAATGTGAGTTGAAAAGCTAAGAAGTACGGGGCAGCTGTTTCTATCTGGTACAGTCTCATCAGCAGTCCGAACCCAACTGGGGACCGAACACGGAACCGCACAAGTAGAATTAAAAGAATCTTGCAGTGGAAACGTTTTTTAGGTGCTTCCACCATAATTTGCATTTAACTCATAATTACTTGTAAGTACTGGTGTGGGATAATTTATATTGATATGGGCTGACTATCTTTTGAACTTCACGTTCACGCACAATCCTCAGTTCATCCAGTCAACCGTCCCCGTCTTTCATAGTTGTTTGCGCGTGTTCTGTGCTGTCCTGGAATTTGTGCATTTGGTTTTTTCCCAGTTATTCCGTAGTTAAACCAATATCGCTGTCCCCCTATCCCCTTTGTGTTTTAATGTCAGCAAGCACTCACTCATCCGTCTTATCGACGCACTAATTTCGGGACGAATCAAGATCATTTTCAAAACTCGTTGGTCAGCTGCGGTCCACGTATTCTCGAATACGGAGACAAACTTCAATTGTATAAAGCGTGGCGGAAAAAGGGTCTCACTAAAATGATCCAGGTCATGTCTGTATTACCGAAAATGCACGAGGAACGGTCCAACATTTACGGGAACGAGCGCCTGGAGTTCCTAGGCGATGCAGTAATTGAAGTGATATCCAGGTACAATGATTTATTTCCCCACAATCCTTTCTTGGTGTGATTGCATCACGGATGTACGTGGCTGTTCGATACGCCCTTATCCGCTTAAGATTTCATGTGGATTGCTATCAGTAGTGCACGTTTCATGTGAAATTTCTCTGATTGTCTATACACGTCCCTTCTTCACATGAAATGTATGTCACTAGGAGCATTGCATGTGCACTTTGATTTGGCGATCTCTAAATTTTTAGCAATCTCCTCTGAAGAATTGTCATCTTCTTAACTGATTTCATACAGGGTTTTACGAATGGAACGGCAAAGTAATCTGAATGGTTCAAAACTTTGGAGCATAATTGTATATTGTACAAGTGTTAGGTTGACGATATCTTATATGTGGTCGATTCCACAGTGGACTTTAACCATCTGCCGGAAGGTGACAGTTATTTAATGTAAGTTTCGTGTGATAGGATTGGCACTTCCGATCTGATGATTTATCTTCTATCTTGGGCGTATTCAGCCTCTTTGGTTTTCGTGATCTGTTTCACCGATGGCTCCATACAGTAAGACATGCGTAAGCGCTATTCCGGGAAACCGTTCGACAGGCAGGGTAAATCAGCCTGAAAGCATTTGGGGCACAAAATTTTAGCGAGATGTCACAAGGCATACGGAGACAGCGGGCGAAATCTATTATCTGATCCAATGGCCACAAAGAAAGTCTGTCGAATTAACGGTGCCATTCGATCCCTAGGTTGCACCCACGTCAGGTGATTGGGGAATGAGCTCCTAGGAAGCTACTGCAAATCATGCACACACACACTAGTGCTGCCTTGTTGTCCGCACCTGGTGTCGCAAAGCCTTGGGGTACTATCCTAGGTCGTCTGTTGCATCCACTTCCCACTAAGCTGACTCATTTCTTCCTGGAGACAGTCTAAGTGAAGTAAGCTAACGATAGAGTTTCATTTTGGGGGGGGGGCGTGTATTTTCGGTCTATACTCTCATAAGAACCGTTTGATGATCCCCGTCGCGTTCAATTTTCATTCCATTTCTCACACTGTTCCTTTTTAGCATACATCTATTTTTTATGTTCCCCGAGCTGCCCGAAGGTCATTTGGACGCTTACCGACAGGCTATCGTACAGAACCAACATCTGGCTGAATTGG